CACCTAGCAAGGTGTGCCAGAGCACACCTAAGTATTTACGTGTATCCAAGCAAGACCTATCCCAAATTAGTTGGATCAGTTGCTTGCATAGGCCACCTGTCTGGTCACCAAAACAATAACAAAATAAAACCAAAATGATGACTCCTAATTATAAACTTTTGACAAGCTTTCCTCTATGTCATCTAATATTCCAACAATCCTATCGTTTTGAAAAAAAAAAAAAAATCTAATATGTGAGCGATCAAGAAAATAACTCCATAATCTTAAAATATATAACAATAATGTTGATTTATTTTATGCAATAGATATTAATTATATTGTCGTACAATTGTAAGATTAAATGTCTAAAGGTTAGAATGATTTGAAATTTTATACTTAATTATATAACTTTTTTGACCTTTTGGTCTTAAAAAGTAAATCAATTCAAATACAAGATTGATGGCAAAAATTATTTTTCTTCAAAACATCAAATAATTTTTATAAGTAAAAAATAAGGGACAATCAGCAGATAAAATATATTATAGTTATCGAAGTTGTTTGAGCCAATTAATCTATTAAACAGTAAATAACTAATTCACACCTAAACTAAGCAGAAATTTTATGGTGGTTATATGGGTACCATAAGTCATGCCACAATATGATGTGTAATGTGAAATTTCCTCTTTCCCCAACTGCTCGAACTCCCGCGGACAACCATTCATGGTGGTGTCGTCCAGCCTGGGCCACCAATTCGTCGGAAAAGCATCGCAAAAAGCTCAGAAGCGACGCAATTGTGGCCATAGCGGTTGCGAATTCGGTGTTGCTGTTGGGTGAGGTCGTGAGTTGCAGATGGATTTGAGAAATATGATTTGATTTTTGGAAATTTTTTAATTGTTTTAATTGATTAAATCTTTGAAAAAGCGCTCAAAGAACGACTCTCTAAAGTCGAAGATTTCCATGAAAGCAAGGTATATACCATCTTTGACATGTTGATCGCTAAGGGTTAGCTGACTCTACCTCCGTGTAAGCGATCCTAAGAACGAAGCGAAGCGAAGTCAAGGTGTGAAGGGAATGAAAATGGGAGACTCTCGTTCGGATGACTCTCGGCTTTTTCTACCCGACATATGAATTGATAATTAAGAACGAAAAGGCCACCTCACATGACACATCATATTGTCACATGACTTATGGTAAATTATCGAAGTAATTAAGTAACTAAAATAATATAAATATAAATAACAAATATGATAACAAAGAGTTGTTTGACACAATTATTCTATTAAAGAAAAATTAAATAATTCATACTATACTAAAAGTAAAATATGAGTTCAAATTAAATAAAGTTCAGAATCTATATATATATATATATATATATATATATAATTAGGGGAAAGCTTCATTTAATTTTATTCAACTTCAATTAATAATAATATAAAGTTATTTAATAAAAACAAGTTACATTTAATACAAATATGTTCACAATTTAATAATAATATGTAACTTTCAGTTACACAATTTATTTTGACATGTCACATTTTGGATGGTATCTATTACTGTAATGCATTTTTATGTCATGAAATACAATTTTTTTTTGTTTTTATTTTCATACTATATATTTTTTGGGTATTATATAAATACATATTTCACAACTAATTTAAAATGCTACAAATATCTCGATTTTCTATTGCAGCCATACAATAATAAAAAATATTATTTCGAATACTACAAAAATACATCAAATATTTTCAAAATCAAATCCCAAAGTCACGATTCGAAGAAATTTAACGATAAGGATTTGTTGAGATGAGGATTTTGACGTTCATAAAATTACGATTGTTTTATATAAAGAAGTATTTAATAATATCGAGATTAACTTTTTTAAATAATTTTTTTCTCATTCGTTAAGTTATGATTTTTTATTTTATTCTATATTTTTAATTATTTTCTCTTCTATTATATTATTTTTCGTGCAAATGCACGGGGTAAATCTAGTGTTCGTACAACAATTGACCTTTAGCACCATGTTGAGCATTGATGTTCCAAATGACTGGCGTATATATAAAGCATCTTGACATAAACAATGGATTCCTTTATGGGGTAGCTAGCTAATAAGTTCAAGAGATTCAAGTCAAAAAATATACTACCAAATTACGTCATAGATAATGAATATACAAGTTTTAATTTTTTTAACTGGAATAAGAAAAATAGCCTAAAATGTTGGTTTCAAACATTATTTGGTTCATTTTCATAAATAAATGGAAAAACAGTAAGTCTAAAAAAAAAATAACAATGAGTGTAAAATATACTAAAACCAATTAGTGTCATAATATACTAATTTAATCAGTTGGCAAGAAAAATCAAAATACGTAGTATAAAACTTTATAAATTAAAAATAAATTCCAATATTCCTAAAATAAAACTACATAAATTAATAATTAAATATCTATCTATCACATAAATCAATTTTTTTTAACTTTTACAATAATATAAATTTATTTTGTATAAACAAATAAATAATAATAAGGTTTGATAGTACAAATATTCATAAAATAAAATCACAAAAATTAATAATTAAATATATATCACATAAATCATTTTTTTTAACTTTTACATTAAATAAATAAAAATAAGGTTTGATAATATTTTTATGAATATTAGACTTTTATGCATCCCAGTGAAATCATTTTCTGAAGATTTTATATTACAATGAGAATTCCATACTAGTGACAAATGAAAATGAGCAGCATCACAGTACCTGGAATGTTTCTTAGAGGCAACTCTAATAGTTTCTAAGACCTTCTCCAACCGAACTCAAAAACTCAATTTTTGCTGTGAATTCTCCTCCAACCGAACGGCAAACGCAGCTGCAATTTGGGATTTTGCCTTCTCTCTCCTCCTCCAAGACGCAAATTTGCGTCTGAACGCAAAATATGCTTTCACTCTTTTTTCTTTTACATTTTAGTCCTTTTATATGTTAATCTCATTTTGTTCTTTTTGTTTTTGCATTTTAGTCCCATCCTTATATGATGATTAATTAATGAATGTTAATTATATATTTACCAAAATAGTAATGTTAATGTAAAATACTATAAAATCTTTATCTCATAAAAATTAAATAGTATAATTTTTAAAATAATAAATATTATATTTATCATTCGATTCTATATTTTTCACAATAATAATATAAAATATACATATAATTTATGGTATTTTATTTAACAAGAAAATAAAACGCTAACATTAAAGACAACAACATTACCAATACTGTGTGTTGTAATTTTTAATATTATTGTGTGTTGTATTTTTAAAATTTAATTTTTAATGACTTTTTATTTCTCCGATTTTATTATGTATATGATTATAACTTTATTATTAGTTTATTACATAAAGTCCAAATTGAACTGAAAATAATAGTATAGTTTAATTTGTAAAGTTGTAAAATATGTGGGTAGTATTGAAAAATTGTAAAAGTTGAAGTAGAAGGGAATATTCCGAGAATATTCTTTTGGGTTGGAGAATGGGTTTTTCAGTTGGAGATGAATTACTGCAAAATGGATATGTACTGCAAAATGGGTTTGAGTATGGGGTATTTGGTTGGAGATGGCTAATTCCATAAAATCCTTCAATTTCTGGGATTCATGTCACCTTAAAATAAATTATCTCACAAATAATTTCAATTGTTGAAAAAACCGTCGTTCGAATAATCAACATTCAACAGAAACTCCAATGGAGAACCAATTTAAATTGCAATCGAAAGTTTTCAAATAAAATTTCAACATGAAAAATTCATTACAATTATCGCTAGAATACTGTGAAATGTATTGCCATTGGAGTTTGATGATTTTGTACATAATAGCTAACTTTCTCCTACAAAACACACCAATGTTTTATAGTCTCATTTGGTCTAAAGAATTTTGATGCCAACAGAGGATTTGAGTATATCTGTCAAACGAGTCTTTATACGATGACATAGAAACACCACAATGACTCGAAAAATTTAAAGAATTGGAATCCATAGTGTAAAGAGCTTTTTTCATACAAGGTGTGAATTTGTCATCAAAATTGAAACTTTAGCTCAACTAAGTTCACAAATCCAAATGTAATTATAAGAAGATGATCGTAAACCAACCCTTCAAACAATGACTAAGAACTTTTTCTTTCTCGGTTATCATATTCTCGCCAAGGATTGAGCGCGTCTCTCATTGCTTGAGCTTCAGGCGAATTCTCCCAAGCCCTCTTCTCTGATTCCAAAACTGTCACTTTATCGTCTGCGGAAAATGCACACATAATAATAAACAGCTTAACAATTAATACAAATAAAATCAGCATAGGTACTGACAAAAGGATAACAAAACTGAACAACGAACAACATTAAAATCTAGTAACTTAAACAAGAAAGCACGAAATTTTCTTAAACAGATAGAGATCTACCCACGTGGGAGTTTATTGCTGAACCATACACTAGACTTATCAGTACCGAGTTACCCATGAACACTCATTCATACCAATTTTCCAATCATGATTTGGCTCAACTATCGTTCTCACAAAACTCGGGATACCAAAGTAGTAACATGACTCCAGTTTAATAAGAGAGTTTTAACCAAACTCTCTATATCCCTCTCTCTCCCTCTCTCATTTTTTTTTTTCAGTTTAATTTTCATGCCAAAAGGGAAAGTCGTCGGAACTTGCACAACCTTACGCGACATTGAATTCTACCAAACAGAGTAGCTATTGCGCGTGATTTTCAGCAAACCGGCTATTAGAAAGAAAAATCATATAAAATTTTAAAATCCCCAATACAGAGTTTAAATAATGTCCATTGCATATGGAGCTGGAAGAGTCATTGTTGACAATTCTCCTGGCATAGTGCTAATAATGGACTAATAATGGGCTAGATCAAAATGACTTAATTAAATTCTAGTGCTTCTTCTATTAGTGAAGTTTCTAGAAAAAATATATCAAACGATGCAACGCATCTTAGGTCGCTATGGAAACAGCCTCCTTGTATAATTACAAGGGTAAGGTCTGTGTACAACTGAGATCCCGACCCCAACCTGTTGGGAATATACTGGGTATGTTGATGCAATACAGAGTTTAAATTTTCGATAACCATGCATAAGCATTAACAACAAAATATTCATTCATAACAATAGATTTCTTCAAGTTCAAGATCGTATCAGATATTAAAAATTGGGCTAAAGCACAGTTTCTTCTATTTACAAAAATGTAATACCAAAAGCGGCTAAAACCCTAACATAATCAGTGCCAAGAATAATGTCCGAACTGGAAAAAACAAGGCACAGACACTGAAATTAACTTGCGAAGTAATCGAATATGGGTTTTTCCTAATTGACGAAATTCGATGAAATTAGTGAAGTGAGTGAGAGAGGTAGAGAGTACGAGAAGGAGAGTCCTCACACAGAAGCCAGTTTTGACGATGAATAGCTCCATGGAACCTCCAATCAAGGCTGAAGCGGCTGCTATCTTCAAGTACCAATCGAGAAACTTCATAGTTTTGTTCTTTGGTTTCTCTTCTTGGTAAAAATTAGATTTATAATCATACACTCTCTATATATAATTACAGAATGCGCTGAGCCTAAGTGGCTCTGGTGCTTCGTAATGCTACTTGGCGAAGAATCATGCTTCGTAATTAGGATTGGACAAATAATATTGATATATTAATAAATAATAATTTAGGTTTGAACATTCCATAAATATTATTTAGCTAACTTAGGTATTTTAATATATTCCTGACTTTTGATTTGTTTTCTCCAATTAACTATTGAATTGTAAATGAACTTTAAAAGTTGATAACTTTTGTATTTCTTATCGGTTTTACATATATAATATATCAAATTAATCATCTTTTGATGATCTTCGGTTTGACATCCATATTGTATATATGAAATAAATAAATTATATTTATTTTATAATAATAAAAAATAATAATATTTATTAAAATTCATTAGAAAAATAAAATTATTTCTCAATTGATATATTTATGTTTAATGTAGTTATTTATTGTGAGTTAAAAAAATTATTATAGTATAACACATGTAAGTCGCAGAAATAAAAAGTGTCATACTAATTATATAATAATATATATATTTTTATAAAAGGTATTTAGATTTTCAACTATTTTTCTCATTAATTTTATATTTTAAGAAAAAGATTAGTACACACCTGTATAATACACGGGCGTTGTACTAGTAAATATTATATATAAAACCAACTTTAACTAATACAAAATAGAATAAAATTAAATAGTAATGCAAACATATAACTAAATTTAGAACTTTTAAATTATGTAAAAGAAACTTAATAAGAATAATAGAATTAAAAAAAAAACCGAATCTATTATCTATATATATATATATAAAGAATTACCATTTTTTAAAAATAGTAAGCATATTTTTTGGACATCATTTATTGTATACCATTTTTGGAAATTTGTTTTATTTTTTTACTTTACTTTTAAAATAGGAATCCTAAATGTTGGCTTTTTTTTTTTTAGGTACAAAGAAGGAGGTCACAGGCCTAAGCTATAACTCTCTGGGGATAAGACACCCCAATATTATCATGCTCCAACCAAGCTCCTAGCCCTAAAGGAATGGCCACAACCCGATGCAAGCCAGGCGGATAAGAAGCTGCCAAGCTCGCCATATGATCAGCAGCGAAGTTCGCTTCCCGATGGATATGTTGCACTCGCACCTCCCATGGCCGTTGGAGTAACTCACGTATAGCCTTAACCATCCGTTCATGGGCACCAAACCTGCCATCCGTATGGGATATCATTGTAAGAACACATTGGCTATCGAAATCCGCTATAACCTTTCGATAGCCTAGCTCCCAAGCCAAAAGAAGTCCTTGAAAAAGCCCCCAGAGTTCAGCACCTGTGATAGAACAAATGCCAATATTTAATAAAAAGCCTCCGAGCCACCGTCCCGCCTCATCACGAGCTAGCCCACCAGGACTGCTCATCCCCAATCGATTGTCGACAGCACCATCCGTGTTCACCTTAATCCATCCCGTGCCCGGGGGAGACTACCGAATCATGCGAGTAATATACGAAGAGACCCCCACCTTCCTATAATCCGCCACAGCGCGCATATAATTATCCGTTAAACTCATAATCTCCATGTGGCGGGCTGCAGAGCTAATGTATTTATGCTGAAAGATG